GAAAAAGTAATTTCCTCCTATCTTCCTTCTATTGGAATTATTCCACCCCTTGATTGTTCTATACTTAGTAACCTTAGGAGCATTTGCCCACTGATTGTTTCCCCTGTTTTCTCTGGATAAATATTTTCCCTTGTTTCATACTCTTCATAGAATGTTCCACTTATTTTCCAACCACAAGCTGGCCACTCCCCAGAATTTTGTATATAAGGAGCTTTGTTTTTCTCTTAATTAATTCCTCATCAGATCCTGCCCCAGCAATTCAGATAACTGATCACCCACTATTAGCCAGGTATTTGCCCATCAACATTTGGGATACCTTGATTTGTGAACAAGTATATTTAGACTAGTAAACATAAGAAACATGTTGAAATAATGAACTCAGACGCGTAAGAGGATTGAGGGCCAAAAAAAGGAAGGGACTCTTTTGTTGGGAGAGGCTCGCAAAAAATGAGTGTAAGAACCAATGATTTTTATTCACTGTAGTTAGGATAATTTAAGTAGACTAGGTACAAGTGGTCAAAATGTGGTTTGAGAAAAATGAATAAGAACAAGCATTTTGAATAAAAATTGAGAGAAGATAAAACAGGTTCTTGGAAGTAACAAACTATACAAAACTTCTCATTCTCTTTTAGTAATGTCAGATGAGTTAATCAAGACAAAATGTTTTAAATCACAGATAACAAGAGGCGTTAATTCTTATTAATCAATTTTTAGAAGAATCAAATAGTGAACTAGAAAAAGAAAGAAGTCAATCACAATGTCTAGAGTTGTTGATAAAATTGCAGAAGAGAGTTCTAATTAGACTACAAAGTGCATAAGATTTCAACATAAAACTAGCTGGAGTTGACTATAGTTCAGTCTAGATCAAGAAGACTCAAGAAAGAAAAAAGAGAAACAATAAAGGGAAAAGAATGTTTTTTTGGGAAGGAGTAGAACAAGGAGTGAAAAACTCAACAAAACATTAGACATACCATCCTCAAGAAATCTCCAAAGCCACACCCTTTTCCTTAAGAGTCCATACTCTTATATTTTCTTGTTATCAGAGAGGCAGCCCATTAAAGCATCCATCCCTCTCAAGCTCTATTCATCCCAAGAGTAGTTCCACAGCGGTCATTGGCAGCTTACAGCCAGCTGCAATTGCCCTGGCTTGTCTGGAGCACGGTTCTCGGTTTGCATTGCCATCTCGATGTTTGACAAGGTTTGACCGAGTTCCAACACCTTTTTGATAAGGGACATCACACCATTTACATTTGTAAGACAAAGGTTCAGTGACCCAGTCTGATTTGAAAAACAAATAAAAATTTAAACCACATCATCAGTTGAGTCAAAGAAACCAAATAGAATAACATAAATAAACAGTGATATGAATAACAATGAGCACAGACTTACGTTGCCTTCTTCAAACACAGGTGGATGAAAATAATCCTCCACATCATCAAATTCTCCATCCTTCGCTTTGGCCTTCTTTTTGTGAAGCTTGAATTGGTGGTTTGCATCGTCTGAATCCTGAGTGAAGTCCATCATCCTCGTGTTCCCATGCCTATCAGTGTTTGAGTGAGAAGATGACTTGTCATCATCCGTGCTTGACTCAGTCTCAGATCCCTTGCTGGATTCAACCAACCTCTTGCTTTTGTGTTTCTTGAGCTTTTGAGTGACCTTGGCCTTCTTGGGCTTGCGGGTGGCATGTGTTGAGGTTGAAGCTGATGTGGATGATGGCCGGTGAGGTCGTTTACAACTCTGTTTGGAAGTGGTTTGGACGGCTGAGGAAGGGGGCAGCGCCTTGGGAGAATCATTGCTAGGCCTGACAAAATTTGGATCGTTTCGGACAGGTGCTGTTATCCGGGTTGATTGCCGAGATGGGGGATGTGAGGTGGATGGGGTGGCTGGGGGAGCAGTGTTGGCCTGAGGCCTGGAAGCAGGGGTTGGGGAGGGGACCATGATCTAGCAGCAGTGTTGAGGGGGTTGAATATTGATTCTAATTGCTAATCAATCTCAAAGAGGGAAACCAAGATGATGACAGAGACAAATCTAAATAAAATGTAAATCTAAGAAACCCAAAAGCAGTCAGTGATGATCCATAAAAAAACAGCAATTAATCATCAAATAAAACTGATGAAAGAAACAAAATGCCAAGGAAAAACTCACCCAACACCACAATAAACACAGGGGAATCTAAAAAAGAGAAAAAGAGTAAAGGTCAGTAATGATCCATAAAATTATGTGATGAATCATTAAGAGACAATGATGAAAGAAGAAGAAAAGGTAAGTCAAGACTCACCCCACCCCAACACTAAAGAAACACAGGGGAATCTAAAAAAGCAAAAAAGAATGGCAAAAATGTCAGTTGTGACCACCCAAAAAAAAAAAAATAACAAGCATGAAGAAAAGTAATAACAATACGGTCCAATACGCAATACAGTATTGGATCGTATCTGTTGAAATTTTGAACTCGAAGACGGCAAGTGCTGAGGATTTTTTTAGAGAAAATGGCACAAAAAAGGTGAAGGCCTTTCTTGGGAGAGGTTCGCGGAAAATGAGTGATAGAACCAATAAGTTTTTTATTCACAGTATTTAAGCTGACTTAAGTAGGCTAAATACAAGTGACCAACATGTGGTTGGGAGAAAATGAATAAAAACTGAGAGGATCAAACAAATGAGTTCTTGAAAGAAATAACGTGACATGCCTTCTCAGTCTCTTTTAGTCATGTAAGAAAATTAATCAAGATAAAACAAAAGTTAAGCCACAAATATTGAGAGGCGTTAATTCTCAATAACCAGATTTTAAAGAATCAAATAGTGAAACAGAAAAAGAAAGAAATCAATCAATCAATAAGCTAGAGTTGTTTAATTAAAATTGCCAAGATGAGTTCTAATTAGACTACTAGATAGCATAAGATTCAGCACAAAAAACAGCTATGATTAACTATAATTCAGTCGGAGTCAAGATGATTCATCAAAGGTAAAAGAGCAAAAGAGGGAGAAAGGAAGAGTGACTTTGGGGAAGAGTAGACCAGAGAAGTGAAAAACTCAACAGTATTGGTCACTCACCTGCGTGGTTGACAGTCAAGGTCCTCAATTCAGGCAATCAAGAGTTGACGGGCCTGTTTGCGACCGGCGATGGAGTGAGCCGACCAAGCTACGCGGCTCGCGGGGTTGGTTTGG